ATACTCACAATATTACGGTTTTTCGGTTTTTACACTGTATTGGGTATTCTAATGCAACATTTAGTTAGATTAAATTGAAGCATGGTTTTTACTATATTGACTGATATAACTTTTACATTAAACTTTTGCTTATTAACCACTTCAATTCGCTTTTATATGAGAGCACTATTTTGTCGTGTGTTTAGCACAAATACAAATACTATACAAGCACATCTTCAAGTATGTGTTTCGATTGATAGTTTTTGAAGGTTTTAACAGATTTGATGTTCCTTTGCTATGTTTTATGGGGTCCCTCAAGTTGACTGCGAAGATGAAGAAGAACAGGAAGATTCTATGACCGTTTCCCAACAGGAGTTCAAAGGAAAAGATACTGGAAATAAAGAAGATGAAAATGAAAACGAAGATAGAAGTACTTCCCACCTCAAAAGAACAAAATATTAACTCAATGCTATATAGTGTTGTAATGTTTTATCCTAATTTACTTTTCTGTGTCAATAAACGTTGTTTTCAGTTAATGGTTGTGATTTATAAAACCATCCCACTGTCAAAGACACTCATACATGCAGAAACATGGCCATAGCAACTTATTTTCCCATTACAATGGTCTAGATATTATTTAATTAAGTGTGAGGAATCTGGCCAGAGGGCCCACATCTGTATATTCTAAAACGAGTATCTGTGCTACTTAGACGTGCAGTACTCACATGGGTTTGGAACCTATCTATTTGGACGAATATACTCTTATAATTTAGTTCAAACTTCCTTACAGATATCAACAGTTTGTTATTTTTTAAATAAACCCTATGTTATGACTATATTGTTTTACAAATGTTGTGTCTTAAAATACTAAAAATTTTGTATTAATTAAAAAAAAATCTGTATTGGGGCTGATGCTTGGGGTACTTTTAAAAAGGCAAGTATAGTTCCACCTGCAACATACTCTTGTATGTTTGTCAACACACAAAAAAATTATTTCTTAATTTTTTCAGTTTTTAAAAAAAAAAAAACTTTAAATCGCCTTGTAAGGGTGTTAGAAAGAACGCCCTTTAGATCGAGCCTTAGGCGCCTCCACCATATATTAAGAGTGAGATTATAGTCCACTCTTAGCGGTAACCACGAATTATATAGAGGGGTCCAATTTGTATTTAAATTGGCCTCTAGACAACACATGGCTAGGGGGTTAAATTCAGAAGGAGCCCTAACTTCCTGACGATGATACAGAGGACAGGGAAAGGGTTTGCCCTACAGAAACTATTCCCTTTGGCAGTTTTCTCTCTCTATCTCTCTCTCTCTCTCAGGGATCGGATTAAGCCAATACACCCGCCTTTCAATGATCGTAAGTTTTCATAAACCAAAGAAAATTGAAACAAGCGTAAAACAAATAACTGTGATTTATTTAACAAATAAAAACAACTAATATTGCTTCCGCAATCACGTAGTCTTTACTGACTACACAAAAACTAAATATAACTACTTAAAAGTATTTACTTACATAAGCATTATGTTCCATCTGTTGGGCTGCAAGGCTGGCTGAAGCACACGTTACTTTTATCACTTTGGTTTTACAAAATAACTAACTGCGACCCGTGACTCTACTTTCGGACACAAAAAAAAACTCACTGATTCGAATAATTTCGACCGCTCGTCAACAAAGACCAAAAGGAACTCCTCCATAATTCACTTGTAATTTTTCAAGAGTGCTCTTTTTGATCTTTCTTGAGCCTTGACTTTAATATTATGATTTAATAAAACCTTGTTCAACTACACGTTTTATTATTTTATTGAATCTAAATTTAGCGCGCCTGCTCTTGGACAAAACTTTACAAATCATAACATACCTATTCACAGGGTGTTATATTAATTCGTAACAGTATGTCGTTTGTTATTTTAATTATATTTCGTATACTCGTCTAAAGCTCTACTAAAAATCTAATAGAGTTAAAATAGTTCAGTTTCCTTTGTCAGTTAAAGTATTGATATCATCAAAATTAGCAGAAGCGCTGTAGTACAGCTTAACCCTCTTTAAAAACCTGATTTAACACACAAACATGAGTGATTTGATAAATGTTCTGTTATTTGCTTCCCCACTGCTTTTGCTAAAAAAACTCAAATGGGCCAAAGGAAATTAATTAAGCAAACAGTCTTGGCAAGATGGAACAAAAATTACGGGCAGTGAATAATGGTATATTGTGGTGCACGCTAGAGACAATGAAGGTTTATTTACCAGTTGCAGGTTTAGGGTTTCCTGCTATAAAAATACTAAAATCTAACACCACAACAGAAAATATTTAAAAAATGGCTAGAAGAACAAGTTTTGAAATCTTTAGATCTTTCTTTGATCATATTAAACAACACTTCATACCATTCTCATCTTTGATAATATCATATTCTTTTCAAATACTTTTAAGATGGGACAAAAATGGAACCAAAATCACTTCTAACCCAAAGATTTGCCAAGTCTCTTATTTTTTAGTGTTTAAAAATATTACCATTATTTTCATGTTGTTACCTAACTTGCCCATATGAATAATACATTTTATACGTGTATTATTATAGCTAAGAGAAAGTACTGTGTCATCGCGGAATTAAGTAAATTTTTGTTCGATCGGCTACCGTGATCTCGATTTATCATTGTATCGGATCTGACAGTTTTGCTACTTTCAATAATAAAATTGCCATTCATGATTTGATGCAAATTTTGATAACTTTTAAGGAAATTGTACTTTTTCGTTCAGTGGCGCAACGATTATTTTGTGAATTTTGCATCTGATATATTCAACCAATGAAAGTTAGAAAATGTTATGTATATCTTTAAACATATCAAGTTTTACTATACATAGATGATAATATCTGACCTATAAATAGAAAAGAAAGATGTTATGGTTCACATAATACTGACATATTGATAATAAATTATCTAAACAGTCAATTAACTAGAAAAAACTATTTGATGAACTGCCTAGATCAGCCTGCTTGAATCCTAGAGATTTTTTTGTATGAGAATATAGCTTCTCAGAATATTAATAAAGATCAAGTAACTGAAACGGTTTATTCATTGTTCATTTGTGCAGGAAACTTTCAATTAAATTTCATAAAGACATACTATTTTATAATATATTATATAACAATAATAATTTAATTTTAATATTTTTATACATGCTAATCTCTGGCACGCCACTGCGCTCTGGCTGGTCGCATCTCTGTCGGTGCACTATGCTGATTGACACTAGAGGTTTCAGTAAATGCTTGTAGTTAAAAAGAGAGGTCAACAAATTCGTGAAACAAATATTGTGATCGCCATTTTGTGCATTGCACATAAACAAGGCGCGACGTCACAAAGTAGAGCGGGGCATGCGAACCTTTCCAAACAAACTTCAAATATATTATAAATCCCCAATACAATTTTGTTTAAATTTTGTTTTTTCACGGAACCATATGGAAAACTTTTTTAATATTGGTTTTGTGAAAAAAATATTTTCCATAAAAAGTTATGAATGGTCCTAAACTTAAAATGCAACTATTAGATATCAATTTTTTAAGCGGTATACGAGGTTTGTCAAAAAATATGATTCTGCTGAACAGTAAAATACCTTTATTTTTGACACACCTCGTATACAACTAATAAAATTTTATATCCGATGAATGTATTTTAGGTTTTAGACCATGCTCGACTTTTTATGAAGAATAACTTTTTTCCTAATAATAATAATAAAAAAGTTTTTCATATGCCACCAACTGTCTACGCAAGTTGGCGGCATCAATAACTATTTAAACTGCATTATCTTTATATGATTTAGCCCCAATGCATTTTCACCTTTTCCAATCCTTTTGTTGTCGTTTTCAAAAAATGGTATTTGTGCTATAAAGTTATGTTTTGATGCCATTTTACAAAAAATAGTAATGACGCAATGACATAAACCAAAATGTAATAGATCTACTACAATTTTAATGAAAAAACAACCCTGTTTCGCTTGGTTAGGTCACTTTCACTTTGATACAACGTTGCCACATTTAGGAAATTTGGTAGATTTTTAGTTTTTTTGCTAGTTTTAGTTGAAAATTTTTTACTATACTTTATATGTAGTGTAAGCTTATTTTTGTTAAAATACTTATGGGTGAAAGTTAACTAATAATAAATATATTTTTGATTTGATGTTTAGAAGCATTATTTATTTGTCATGGGCAATACAGGTGCCTTAGTTATCTTAAACTGTTTACCAGGGATTAATACAAGTTATTTTAGGGTGATAGAAATACTTATATATAAATATACTTTTACTTGTGTCAATTGATTAAATAAGTACATCAATACTACTTTTGTTTGACATTCTGTCTTCTCTTCATTTCTATTAATTATCTAAAAAATCAGTAATTATTAAATGTTTTATTCGTGCGTTTTTTTTTTTAAACAAAACCCATTACTTAAATTTCCAATCAAAATTTACTATCTAAAATTTTGTAACTCTGCTTTAAAGTTTACAGTTTACAGAACATTCAATAATAATTAATCTAGGTATCTAGGTATACACATAAGTAATCCTCATATTTGATAATATGCAATTATCCTGATATATGGAGTAGAGATTCGTGAATAATTAATATTAATTATGTAATAAAAAGGAAAGTCATAGACAGACGGTAATAAATAACATGCTTTTGGTAAAGATTTAATTAATGATGATTTATAATTAACTTCAATTAGATAATTCTTTGAATAAACATATTATATTAGATCATTTGAATTTTTAATTTTAATAGAACACATAATATACTACTTACTAATTCTTTTCCGACAAAAAATAAAAAAAAAATACAAAGTTAATCTACAGTTTTAATTTAGAAACTGTCATATCATTACTCTGTAATAACAACCTATGCTGACGTCTTCAAATGACAACGGTCATATTATTACGGCTAGTTTTGTTAATGGTATTTAAAATTTTCATTCTTAATATAAAGTATGCATACAGTACATTTCCTATCCATTCTTTCTTTTAAAAATGAAAGGTAGAAACCGCAGATAATTTATATTAAGAAATAAGAATAAGTTACAAAATTACAAATCATTTTAATACCCTGTACATAGAATAAAAGATAATTATGAATACGCATGGTCATAGTCAAAGGAATAGAAATTAAAAGTGAAGCAAGATTGCTTGAAAAAGAAGTAGTCCATAAAATAGTTACCAATGCAATTGCGTTAATTAGTTAATTTGCAAAAAGAACGGAAAAAAATGTTGATTGTGATCGATTTTGTTTGAATTTCTAAACCGGCAACAATCGACTAATTAATCAGGAAAAATAGTTACAAATATATAACAAATTAAAATAAAATGTACCTATAATAAATGTTCTAAATTATTAACTATACCTTTTCAAAATGATCATCATCTGTTTATAAAACACTATCAATTATCAAAAAGAAATAATCACAAAGAATACATGCAAAAAAGAAAAAATAATTTAGAGGTTATTATGATAAAATAACCATTTTAAAAATAAATTATGACTTATTATGAAAATAAAATAAACTTAAAAGAAAAATTAGTCCTTCTCCTGGATTTGAACTCAGGACCTTTTGAAAGCGATATCAGTGATATATATCTGTGCTAACGTGACAACATATTATTTAAAATATATTGATAATTATATTCGTTTTAGCTACTTTTTACAAAATTTACGATGTATTTGAAAATATAGGCGAATATTTTGTGGAATGTTATTTTTTATCGATTCTTCACAAGAGTCATTTATTTTTATTTATACTTAATCTCGATAACTAAAAAATATATTGACAATTTGTTTGACATTTTTTTCACTTATTTATAATTCAAAAAAACAACAGTAGCCTGGTCACAAAATATGAGCTGTGATTGGTGGTTTCATACCCTTACTAGAATGGATATAAAATATCCTTTCAATATAACTCAATTGTCTGCTTTTTGTTCGGAAGTCCGTGTGTAGAATATATAATTATACATGTGTGTGTAAAAAAATAACATTTTGTAGATTTGAATTACACTTTTTATATATTACCTATATTAATAAATATGCCCATTTAAAATTATTTTTGTATTTAAAACTTGTCAAGTACATAAATATTGATGCCTTACATCACTTCTATAAATATTTCTTAACTCATTTTCTTGTTTCAGCAAACCCTGCGATCACCAACACAGACCAGCACTCTCAACCACAAGAAATGGGTGAAGGGTTTTCAGATGGTACAGATGGTACAGACGGTGCTGCAAATGATCAAAGTCAAGCCGGTCAAAATTCCTTCTACCCATCCTATTCGTCGTACCAAAATCAACCTCTAGGACACTCAAGACCATTCTATTACAGTCAGCAAGAAGCCGCGTATAGCCAGAGACCGTACCATTCTGGGTTCGATCAAAATGCCAGGTAAAACACATTTATTTATTAAGTTGTATTAAGTTATATCAAATTTGGATTCAAAAACAAAAACAAGGAATAGTAAGAGGAATATATACATACTCAACATTTAGTTGACCGTAAGACCTGCAAAGTTTAGGTATTTTTAATGACAATTTATACTTCACGTTGGCATTGTACTATGGCCACGTCGGCATATCAGATAAGGTATAGTAGCTCAGGTACCGAAGGCAAATTATTTGAGATTGACGGATTTCAATTAATAATATTAATAATATAATAATAATACTCTCCCTGATTCACCCCCGTACGAGTGAATTTTTACCCCAAAAGCTGAGCTTGTCCGGGAAAGGCACTAAGAAAATTTGAATTGGATATAACTTAAAGAGAATTTTCACTTTTTAAACATAAAGTATACTTCTTTTTTGAATATCTCACTTATCCCTAGAATAATTTTTGGACAACCTACCTTTCAAAACTAAAAAAAGAAAATCACTTGAGTATTCAAGAAAAACGTTACAGATAGGGTAAATCCAGGAGAGATGGTACAGTTTTTTTAAATCAACGTAAATTCTTTATTATTAAAAGGAAAATTAAAATACCTTGTAGGTTACCAAAATGTAACCAGACAAACAACATAGTGGTCATAAATATCAAAAATATCAAAGTAAAAGAACGTTAAAAGAAATAAATAAGTTCCTTCTCACCTTACACCTATAAAATATTTGGTACACATAATTGAGGTAAAGATGGTACACTTTTCAAGGATAAATGGCATGATTACTTTTTGATTTGACACACCTTTTTACCGCAACTGTCACAAGAATTTAAATATTATGAACAGCTGTCATGCATCCATCTTCGACAACTCAAACATTCAATCCAATCATATTTTTATGTAGTTTGGTTTTAATGTTCACCCAACCAACGCATTGATCGGTTTCATTGGACAGATCAGAGCTATCATCACAGCTGAGCTTTTTATCTTCAGACGATGATGACCTTTTCCTCGACCTCTTCTTGACTGCAGTTTTAAAATTTTTCTTTTTATTCTTCTTTGGCTTAATTTTTGAGTTTAGTTTCTGTTTTTTCTCGCTAATATTCTCCATGCCTGTTAGCTCAATACCAAGCTGTTTACTTCTCTTTTTTAGGCCGTTTGAATTTTCGGCACGGGTGGAACAATGTCAAGGATTTTTCCCGGTGTCTTGTCCATTTCATGAGCACTATCGTTCTCACTTGTAATCACTTCTTCCGTCGTATGCTTTCTTTTATCCTTTTATCTCATGAACAGCCCGGTTGTGCCAAATCCTCCATTAAATCGTTAGGGTCAGTTCTCGGATCAGTCTCTTCTGTTTCATCACTAACAATGGGTGGACTAAAAGCTCTAGGTAAAGTTTCATTGTTTGCTACATCAGAAACTCCATGTTCTGCAATAACTGATGCTATGTTTTGGTCAAGGTTTTGGTCTTGTTCTACCAAAATGCGTATTTCGGAATTTCAGACCAGTTGAATAGTACTATTCTAGTAGCCATAAAGGAAGACTGAGCGTTCTGGATAGTGGTCGCACATTGCCTGAATTAAGCAATTGGCCGAACTCAAGCCTATTTAGCTGCTTACCAGGCTTTGTTCTTATATAGAAATTGCATGCCTCATAATAGTATTCTTTAAGAGACTTAAGAAATTATCGATCCAAGAGCTAAAGAAATTGTGTCCTTGGTGTGCAAAGCAAAATGATATTTTGTTTTGCAGTATATTCTAAGAGTTCAATGTTGTTACAATATGAGGTATGTCGATCAAGTAGCAGCAAAACTTCCCCTGTTGGTTTTCGAAGGACAAATTGCTCTTTGAGCCATTTCAAAAAAAGCTCATTATTAATATAGGCAGACTTTTAAGACATGAATACTGTTGCACCACTAGACATGTCTTCTTTATATTCCTGTGTTTTATTTTCCCCCTTAAAAATACATGTTCCGACATAAAAAACAGGAATCAGGATGCCTCCTGCACTGCAGTAAGCAACAACAAAAATCGTTTTTCCTTTCTTACCAGACGTTACGGATACAAAGTTTTTTGAGCTCTTATTTGCAACTACCTGCTATGGCCTGTTATATAATTGCAGTCTAGTTTTATCTAGGTTAAATTATAATAAGGCGAAGTACTGGTCAATGTCCTTTTTATTCATGGATGTGGCGCGAGCAAATGAAAGTCCTGCTTTTCGTATCGACAGTTCCAGATTTCGCCTAAGAAATGACTTAAACCAAGGGTAACCAGCCATTCATTTGTAAGCGTTAACCTTATGCTTTATTTTCAGTTTTTCAGCTAGATCGATCTCATCATTGATCTAGTAGAAGCAAATCCGCGACTTTGGAGCTTCTTTACCTGAGAAACATTTTTTTTATTGGCTGTTCCAAGAGTAGATTCTAGTCCTAATCCACACTTTTCCCTTTTCCTTAAAGAATATCTTCTTCTTAAAGTGGTGAGGGTTATACTGTATGTCCGAGATATTTCTCTCATACTAAATTGCTTTCTTTCCATTGCTTCGATTGCTTGTTTTAAGTTTTCTTCTGACCACTCAGCTCTGCCGTTAGCGCTGCCTTTTCTCTTGTAGATATTCGGTATATTTCGGACAAATAAATATAATAAATATAAGTAATCCAAATGATTTGCTATAAAAAAATCCAATGTACAAATGAACAAATGCTTATAAAGGACAGATGGAACACCCATACCATCTATCCTCAACAAAATCTGCCCTAACTCTCCTTACGCTACAAGGAGAGATAGAACAGCAAATAAAATCTATAATAATTGACAACGGTCCTTGTTTTAAGATTAGGTTGTTAAATTAGGGTGTTTCTAGACTAACTAAAATTTTTGAAGTGTACTTACCTAATAGCTTAACTAAACTTCCCACCAAAAACATTTATTGGTTTTTAAAAAAAGACTTTAAAATTGTTGACGAAAATAGGGAGCACGTGGTTACAAACAGGCGTTATGGACTTCAGTGCTCATATGGAGATTTGTAATGTTGCCAGTTGGGATCTGCATTTCGGGAATTCCGAGGATCAGGTAGTGTACCATCTCTCCTTTCGTACCATCTATCCTCAAATTACCCTAGATCATAGGAAATTACACCGAAATCAATTATTATAGCTTCGCTGGTAGAAAGAATCCTAATTTAGAACTATTAAATCATTATTTGAGTGTATGCCCGATTTGGAACCAATAACGAATGGAATTAGTCTTACCACGAAAGCAGAATTTCAGAATAAGTCCAATATTCCTACCGTAAACGAAGCTTTATGAATTTTTGGGGATTTACAAAAAATGGACACGTTTTGACCTCAGTAAAGATAGTAGTAGTGATAAATAAATGCTTTGATATCGAAATAAGTCTTTATTTTACCATTTTATAGTATACAATCCTAATAAAACGTAGTTATGAAGTAGTTAGAGGTATACAATATTTTTGGCCAAGTTTTGAGTCTAATTACCACACTTTGCAGCGCCTAAATGCACAATAAACAGAAAAATAATTGGCTAATACACCAGTGGAAACTTGCAAATACTCAAACTGGCACTGCTCCCTCGCAAATAAGAGCAGTATGTTGCGTATTTTTCTTACTCTCAAACGTTGTCGCTAGAGAGCAATTCTAATCAGTGCAATATTTAAAAAACAATCGTATGCATTACTACGAAAAGTAGATATTTGAAATTTTAGGAATATTAAGATAGCTTTATTATCTGTCGACTCTTGCAGTTAGATTTTTATTTATTATATTTATGATTTTATTTTTTTATTTTTTATCTGAAACGGGCTTTCAAGATTGTCTTTTAAATGACTTTAATAGTAAAGTTACTTCCTTCATTTACAAATTGAGGCCGGGTATGTATTCCTCTTAAAGGTAAAATAATATAAACGCAATAAATTATTCTCTATTCTATTCAGCAATAAAACAAAATAATTTTAACAAATATTTATTTTGACAGATTCAGTGGTTATAAAGACTTCAACCCAGCACCAAAAACCGAGCAAGCAGGACTGCTGGGTTCAGGAAATTTCGGTGTTATTCCAGGAGGAACCTTTTACGGAGACAATGATGAGAATTCCAACTATGCTGACTACGATAACTACTACTATAATGGTCATGGCCGTCCTCAGTATTATTTATCAGCCCAATCAAATCCGAAACCCTACACCCACGAGCAATTCGCTAATTTCAGAGATTTCGCTGATATAAACACCCCCGACAGACAGTATTCACAGTACGTAGTCGTATACGCTCCTACGAACAAGAACAAGACTGAAGATGGTGAAGGGAATGACGGGAAAACAAACCAAATTCAACAAAAGCCAGTGACAGTTCCAAGGAATATAATAGAAAGTCTAACGTTACTAGACATGCAGGGACCATCGACTACAGCAACAGTACCAGAGAAGAAGATTTCGAAATCCAAACGAAAGCTCGCCCTGCTACCACCCGTAAAGAAACATCTTCAAAAAAGGCTGATGAAAATGAGAGATCAAGAAGAACCTTTGATGGCGTTAAGTTAGTTTCGAAAAATGCGAAAATAAGCGTTTTAATTTTCGAGTCTGCATTTTTTTGCAGAATGTTGTACATATTTTTTCAGAATCGATTGTAAGGCATGGAATGAGCGTGATTTTGATTTAATTTTTAAGGTGTATTGTGTATCGGATCTACCTCTCATCATTAAGTGATGAATTTAAAAAAAAAATGGCGTCTAAGGCTGAATGTAAAGCATGATGAGATGAGGTCGAATTTAATGATTTTTAAGTTACTATTTAAAATGATAAACTAGGTAGTGGTTCTGGAGAAAGAACTGTAAGTAATTAAAAATATAAAGTATTATGATATTTTATTGTGGCACTGCTTGTATTTGTATCAATTTTATATTTGAATTCATTTGGTATATTATTAACTCTTGTTTTCCTCATCAAAAGTCTTTCGTTGAAATTACTAAATCTTCATAAAGAATGTTTATGTATCTAAATCATCTCTAAATCTACAGGTCATAGTTTTAAAATTTTTGAGACTTTTGGTTTCAATAAGACATTTGTCCAAGTCACAATTCACGGAAAATGACATAATTTCTCGAAGCTACGTTTATAAACCATTTAATCTTTACACGTGGTTCGATCAAGTGGCCCCCAAACTCATCAGATTTATCACCTAACGATTTTTTTGTGGGGATTTCTGAAAGATTAAGTGTATCGATATGCTCTTGAAAGAGCATCAAATCTAGATAGATTGAGGCACAACATTATCCAACACTGTTAAAGCATTATACTAGATCAAAGATACGAGATTATCTTTGTATAATACATAGATTTGGTTATTGTTGGTTAATTTTAACAACACTTTATTGTTTATTTGCAAACTAGCAGTCTTCAAAACTTTTTCAAATTCGATTGTGCTGCCAGAGAGTACGTATGATAATACAGATTGAAAGTAAAACTGAATAGTTTTATGAATCATCAATCAATCCATTTTTAAAAAATTACAAAAACTTTATGAAAAGCGGAACTTTATTTTATGTCTTAGCAATATAAAAGTTAAAATGTAAAAGCTTAAAAATGCCGGCAACGAACTAGTTTTGTTACCGCTAGATCTTGGTGGGACCTTATCTTGGACTTGCTGCGTCTTGATGATTCTACTTGTATTTGCTATGAGTAGAGGAGAATCTGGGGGCTGGCCTCTGAATTGTCTTCCTTGGAGATCTTCTTTGATAAATTCTTCTTATATTTTCTATATTAATAAATGCAAACTAACAAAGAAAATAGAAATATAAATCAATATTCCAAATATTATCCATATCTCAAAGTGGTCCGAAGTAGATTAAAGGGAACAATATTGAACAAAAACTTATTCTAAACAATCCCTTTTCTGACAAAATAATCTTTTATCAACGATATGTAGACGACATACTTATGCTCTTCAATGGTTCCTTAGCACAGTTCGATTCCTTCTTTACTTATATAAATACCTTACATCCCCGTATAAATTTCACTGTAGAATTTGAAAATAACAACACTATACCGTTTCTAGATTTATTTATTACCAAAGACACAATAAACAATAGATTACAGTTTGATATATATAGAAAACCTACCACTACAGATACCCTTATACCATTTGACTCATGCCACTCTTTGTCACATAAAAAAGCTTTCTTTAATAGTTTTCTACATAGAGTTTTCACCATCCCTCTGTCAGAATCAAACTTTAATAAAGAGATAGATTTAATTAAACAACTTGCTATCAACAATGGTTTCCCCTTAGAGCTTCTTAATAAAATGTACTTCAGAATTTTCAACAAATTTAGATTGTCCTTTCCCACCATCTCACTTAATTCTTCTAATTCCATTGTTCCTAAGGTTTATTCTGGTTCTATTCCTTTCTTGGGCAGTGTGTCATATGAACTAGCTAAAATATTCAGAAAATTCAACATAAACATAGCCTTTAAAAGTACCAACTCACTTTACTCACTTCTAGTACGGAATAAAGATCTTGTACCCACTTTTCATAAACCAGGGGTATATCTACTGAATTGTAATGATTGCAATGCCATCTACGTCGGCCAGTCAGGAAGAAAGACAGAAACCCGAATTTTAGAACATTACAAAACCATCAACAGATATAAATCCTCGAATATTTTAGATACCAATTCCACATTTGCTAATCATGTTCTCTATACTAAACATAACTTCACTTTTCCAGATAACGCCTCTCTTCTTATCCAATGTCCCAAAGGCATTAGGCTGGACTTACTTGAAATGCATTACATTCATCAACATACTAATAATCCAGATGTGGTGTGTTTAAATGATCAATTACAACCTACATATAAGCCTATCTTTTCCAGATTAACCTTCTAAAGTTTCCTAAATCCTTTGTAAATCCTTCAACCTTTTACTTGTAATAATATATATAATAGCCCCCTTTTTAAAAAAATTCATACATATCATAAATTTCCTTAACCTAAATCTAATTTCTAATGTCAAATTCTTCTTTTTTAAAAATCAAATGGCCCTCTAACTTTATAACACCAACAGAATTTACTCGTGGCCTCTCCAAAGTCTTGGACATCCTGTCAAATTGTTTAAATTTATACTATAAAATTTGTCACAAAACTAATTTAGCATATTCAATTTAACTAATGTCAAATTTAATTATTATTATTATCTCAACCATAATTATTGTAACTACGTGTCTTCCATCATATGTCAGTTGTCAAATGTCGTAAATTCTCCACCATTTTCTCATTCAACTTCACCCTTGAATGACGAAGGTGCTAAGAAAAATTCCCGAAGTTAACCAAAGTATTAATTAATGATACCCCTTAAGCCTAGGCTTAAGGGTGTACACAAACCAAACTCCGTCTACCCCATTTGTACTGGGGATAGGGGGAGCAACGGTAATTTTTGAAAAGTTACATTTTTCACATGGTGCCTTAAGCACACATGTGGAACTTCAAATTTGAGATTATCTTTTATAACCACCTTCATTAGATGGAGGCAGGCGAGGTTCAAGATTAAACAATATCCAACCTCGAATGAGGGAGGCAGTACGTGCCAATTTGTATAATTTTTATTTTACAATTTAAAATTTTAATTCAACATTTAATTTTTTCTGTGGACACATAGTGGTAAGACACCTAGCATTTCTATAAAAACGTTTTGTTATCCTAAATTATTATTGCAGATTGTACCTACCTACCTACTCACTTTCAAAAAAAAATTTTTGCCTGATGATGACCTTTTAGGTCGAAAGCGCTTGCAACCCAACCTAATAAATTTATGTGGTCGACAGACTTTGAGCCTTTTACTTCCCTTTAATAAATCAATATAATCCAAACACTGATACTGTTCAAATGTATTGGATTATCAGAAGTATGTTTTAATTTTTGTTTCTGAAAATTTAGAGAGTCTTCTAGAAAGGTTAATGTAGGATTTCATTGTCAATGTCTCCAGGGTTATTGATAAGTGATTCGTTTTCTAGAGCATTTATAGAAATTATTGATATTGTGTCAATATTAGTGTTTGTTTTTTATTTTCTTTTATTATTACTGGTTCCTTAACTATTCTTGTTGATTTTTCAGTAATAACAATTTTATAATTTTCTATTTTTAGATTAGATTCAAATTTGATTAAATCTTCGAATTCGAGAATTATTGGTATTTTAACTGATGAGGTAATAATTAATTTTTTATTAAAATCAACTGATGCATTTAATTGTTCGAGCAGATCAATTCCGATAAGACCTTCGAAATTTTTATTAAAATCAAATACATGAAATTTTTTATCATTTCTACATTAAAGACGCTAAAAACGGGAATTTGAATTACTTCGTTATGATGACTTATATTATGCATTGTTTGTATTTTAAAATCTTCGTTAAAAATATATTTTTTATAAAATGCATAAGCTAATCTAAAGTTTATTAAACTTCTACTACTACCAGTGTCTATTAAGAAATTTGCGTTTATTTCTGGTATAAAAATATAGGGTAAATTTGATCTCATTATGTTCGAATTATTTACATCTTCAACTTATCAAAAGTATCATAAGTCGGACCTGGAGAGGGTTCATGGAAGTGTGTCAGCTGTTTTACATTTGTGGTAATTTCTCGTTTTTTATAAGAAATGTTTTTGTCGTTAGTTTTGTTAAATGTTGAGAAATCATTATTTTCTTGGAACTGGCATTCACCGTCTGTAAAAGGTCTTTACAAAAACATACCACATGTTCCTTAAATAAGTCGATTTAAGTAAAATTACCTTAGGACAAAGTTGCTTCGTTTGGGCTCCAGAGGGCCTTGAAGTTACAATTTTTAAATCGTTTTTTCCATATAAATTTAAAACGGCATATGCAATTTTGCTGAAATTTGGTATATTGGTAGAGTTTTATGTGGCAAAAAAATGGTATTAAAATTTTGTCCGATAATAATACATAGGCGTAGAACTTGATTTTTTAAATAATTGCACCTTTAAAAATTCTACGCCAATGGAAGAAAAGGAGTTTGAGTATGAAATTTAGATTGCGCAACTCATTTACTTTAAAAAAGGTACTCTTGATGGGACTCGATTACTCTCATGGTTTTCGCTAAATTTCTGTTTTAATAATTTAGAGTATAGGTTTCACAAAAATATTTATTTACAACATAATCAAAATAGAGATTTTACAAAAATTGTTCAAAATGTTTACCATTTTCACGCATACAAAGATTTATACGTCGAAAAAAATTAAAATATATCCTTTCCATAACTTCTTCATCACCTCTAAGATTGTTTATTGCATCTTGAATACGTTGCCAGAGTTTTTCCTCATTTTCTACAGGTTCCCTGTAAACTGTGGATTTCAGATGTCCCCATAAAAAGTAATCCATCGGTGTTAGGTCTGGGGAACGTGGTGGCCAGTTTACTGGTGCGTCTTTATCTCTGCCTATCCATTTGTGTGGATATGGTTCATTCAAGTGGTTTCTAACGTTTAAAAAAAATGTGGTGGAGCTCCATCTTGCATAAACCACATATCTCTCC